TAAATTTAAAAAATAACCTTAAAAATTAAATTAAAAATGTTAATTTTTTAAAATATAAAAATATAAATATTATTATGAAACATATTTTAAGTATTTTACTAATAATATTAACTGGTATCATTTCATCTGAACTAGATGACTTAATTTATCTCGTTCTTTGGTGAAAAGAGCAAATGAGCTCTTGTCCCCATCAAATAATAGCAGATTAGCCCCTCATCTAGAAACAGACGAAAATTAGCCTTCAAACTCTTCAAATGGTTGCAAATTAGTCCTTATTTGACTGTTGACGTCAACCAGTCGGTTAACTTAAACGGAGAGCTGGTTTTCGTGGATTCCACACAGCGACCTGACACTAGGTTGGTGCTGATTGGGAAAATTTGTTCTTATTGTAAACCCAGGGTGCTTATATGGAATGTTTTGCATTTAATTATTACGGTGACTGGATTAATGACATTACCTTCTCTTATTTTTTTTGTGAAAGATTAATGATATTTTATTTGTCTTAAAATAATAATAATTTTTTAAATTTAAATTTATTTTAAATTAATTAATTTTAATTTTAATTTTATTATTATTCATTCACTTTAATTATAAAGTTGGTGTAACATGTGTTTTAAATACATTTTTCATGCAAAAATAAAAAAGTTAGTATTAATTTTAACATTTATAACACATGAATATTTTTTAGTAGATAATTAGTAATATTAATATCAACTTTTAATTTTATTATGTATATTAATAATAAAAAATACAATAAATACATTCTTATCTTATACTCTTAAAAAACCCTTAACTATATTATTATCTATTTACTTTAATTAATTATTCAATTATAAAAAGTCTTTTTTATTTTTTATTTTTTAAAGGTAATTATAAATTATAAATAAATATAATTATTATCTTTAAATTTTTAATTTAAAAAAATTATTATTTTGAGATAAAAGGAGTGGTACTCAATTGTGTTTTTTCTTTTTTCATAAAAAAATGAAAAATGAAAAAAAAAAAATAAAAGAAGATTAAAACGAACAAAAAAACCAAAAAGGCAAAGCAAATTACAAAAAAGTGGAAGAGAGTCTGCTCCTCTTCTTCCTTTAATTTTCGCCTGATCATCCATCATCTCCTTCTCCACATCCTTCCTCAAATCTAACTAAAATCTAACCTAAGTTCCAAATTAATAAGAGAATCAAGTATTGGCATTATTAGAAAATTTTAAATTACTTATTAAAAGATCATCCATATGAAAAATTATAGAAACAAAAGACTTTATTGTCGACAAAAATAATATTTGTACATAGTAAAATAATGAAAATAATATTAATTTATATTATTTAAATTTTACACATTAAGTTTATCAGTAAAATTTTAAAATACTAACACAATATTAGTTTGAAAATATTTCAATAATTATTTTACAACGTGAATCTTGTTAATAAATTATAAATAATGAACACCAGGTCCATAAACTAAAATTTTTTAAAATTTTACTGGTCAAATACTGTTTATTTAGAGATGTAAAGCCCATTAATGACAATCACAAATAACTATCATCTCAACAAACTTACTGCCAAGTGCAGCCAAACTGTTCATTATAGAATAATGATAAGAAACACCAGTAAGGGTAACGATTTCACGAGATAAACCTAAGGTGATCTATCACTTTAGTAATATATTAATAAAATAAAGATTACATGAACCTCACCTCTTTTCCGTATTATGCTTACATATTTGCAATACTTTACTTGTTCTAGGTTGATCCAAATTTAAGTTCTTTCTTTCAAATCTTCGTTCTTTTTTTTGTATTTTTCTCATGTCTCCTGCAAAAACTAACTATATAGATTTAGGGTTGCTGCCAGTTAGTGTTCAATCTTACCAAACAATTAAGGTTTAGGTTTTTTTTTTTTTTTTTTTTTTTTTTTTAAAAACAATTTTAAACGATGGCTATGGGATTTTAATTACCAGGATAGGGTTAAACCTGGTCCTTGAGTTTGGCAAGTCCACTGGAGGAGAAGCTTGACAAAAAAGGGGAGATGAGAGAAAAAGATCAGAGATTTTGAAAGAGAAATAAGGAGACAAAAATAAAATTGATAAAAATAACTTAATTCAATATTTTTAAAAATTAATATATTTATAATGTGACTTATCGTATCATTAATCCCATAAATTCGCCCCATAAGACATCAAACGGTAATAATAGTAAACCGCGGCAAGGGTCCCACAACATGATCCGAGCCTCTGTATCCCTCCCATTAAGATCCACAATTAACAGAGATGCCTTGAAGGGAGTGAAGATGTACGGAAATAACCAGTATCTCAGAGTTGAGGAAGAAAGGGAGGGAGAGAAAATTGGACAAAGAGAAGGAATTAGTACGCAAGGAAGTTTTAAAGATATGGTTATGATTTGTTAAACGTGGATGAGTTCAGAACTGAACGCGTGGTTACGATGGCAAATAACCCCTCATCTAGAAAGAGAAGGAAATCAGGCCTCAAGCTCTTCAATGATTGCAAATCAGCCCTTATTTGACTGATGACGTCTAGCACTCGGTTAACTCAAACGGAGAGCTGGTTTCGGTCGGTTTCACAGAGTGACCTGACACTAAGTTGGTGCTGATTTGGAATATTATTTCTTATTTGTAAAACCCACGGTGCTTGCGTAGAACGTTTTGAATTTAATTGTTACGGTGACAGGATTAATGATAT